AAACATACCTAATCGGAATTCCCAAATAACGGAACAGGCTGAATAAAATAAAAAAGAGTGGATAGAGAGAAATCACCAGATCCCGAACGATTACTTGTTGGAGAGGGTTCGCGTGAAGTTTACCTACACCCTATGAATAGTACGGGTAGTAGACTGTTTGCCAAACAAAACTGGTCTAGTGAAACTACTGACAGGCAACCTCTAAGAGTGTCATTTGGGCATCCTGGTCCGGACATTCTGAGCAAGAAGGGAACAAGGCTTCCTCAAAGGCGAAATTATTGGTATACTTAGCACGAAAATTATATCAAAATTTCAATTACGAAAAAGTCTTATAGTCTCTGGAATTGTGATAGCTTCCGCCATAACGCGATCTCATATCCTTCTTTCCACAACACATTACTGTCGCGAAGGAGTGTTAGAGGGAGAGATAGTTGAGCCACGGCGCCTTTTTCCACCAATTGATGCCATCTTGAGACCACAACAAGTGATGATAAAGGCTCGCTAGCTGCCTTTAACCCATACCCCTTCGAACGCCCTCTCTTTTTACCGATAATGACTGTACGATATGAATCAATTAAAAAAACCAACCTTAACACATCCTTTTCCACCAGTATATACACTTCGATTATCTTTCGCTATAGTAACTGCACATACAACCTAAAAGCGGAGCCATTTGATCGATTTCGCGGGTAAAAAATGTATAAACAAATCTTAAAATAATAGTGGACTAGTCAGTCGAAGGATTTCCCGCTTATTTCTACAGATCCGGATATAAATCTGTGTGGCTGTCAGCCTCTTAGAGTGCGTTCATACTCTGCGTCAGCGTTTTGAGCGTCTCGAGCGTACGCCAGCGCAGCGTTTTCGAACGGCTAGGAAAGTGTAGGTATCGATTCGGTATAACGTACGCCAGCGTTTTCACGTACTACCCGCGAAACGCTCAAAACGCTCTTACGCTGGCGCACGCTAGATCGATACCTATACTTCCCTGTTCGCTCATAACGCTCAACACACTGGCGTACGCCCGAAATACCAGTGCGTAGTAT